TTTCGCTTCCACATCTACTTTGGGGAATTGCACTGCTATACTATTTGTATTGATGAATACACAAGTACCTTTGTAGTATGAAGGCTTCAAAAGAAACATATGACGGAATTTCTTTGTAAAATGCAATTTGAAGCCAATTACCTTGATTTCGCGTGCAGTCAATTATTCGGAATTACTTTTCTCGTATATATTAAAAAATATGTATGTGCACACAATACAGGGAAAATATACATAAATAGTATATTATTATATGTATGTATCCATTACCAAGGACGTCAGTGTATTACAGCAATTTATTACGCGTTTGATTGGCTACAACAATAGAGATTGTCGATACGGCAGTCGCAGGAATTCGGATTCAGGTTTCATCATAACAGGGAGTGGGAAGGATCTTTGCTTCAGCGTTCAACGATATATATAGAACGGAAAATAAGGACCATCCGTTCATAAGGAGAAAACTGAAATGATTATCTATCACAGTACATAATAGTTACAATTATATCTTGTTGAAGGTCTCTAGATAGGCTTTAATAGGTGAGAATCTCATTTACCTATCTTCTTGCGCTTGGATGCTATATTGACATTATCATTTTATGGGCTTCTAAAATAATATGCCAATACTTTAAATACCTTTGTTGATTTTAAAGTAATTTTTACGACTAATTCATAAACTAAAGAATTTGAAAATTGTACTCTTGCATCATTATAATTTCACCCATTTAATCGATCCACCTGGCAATATTTTAGAGTGTTATAAAGCTGGTTTATAATAAATCCCTTTGGTCCCACTGCTCATTTCAATAATTTGTTGAAGTAAGGAGCTAACTTCTAGGCGTACTAACAACTCTCTTAAAAGATCTAATATCAATATATTCACTGGTAACATTAACGTAAACCACTAATCCAACTAACTTCTACACCCGTCAACACTTGGTTCTATATTTAACAATTTCACTAACAATGCGCACAATATTTTATATCAAATCAAAATTATAACTGAACAATTACCTTCCATCAAAAGGGAGAAATTTCGCGTGAACTCGGTATTATCGGAAAAGGTAATAAATACAAATGTACATGTGTAGGCAATTACTTCGATAAGCGCAATGCTTTTTATTTTGCTTATTCACTTCTTTATTAAATTGTTCCTCTATTATTCAAACATTAATTCGTTTGAAAATGTACCTGTTGCTGGCTCATATGTATGCTTTTCCATCAATGCCCCCACCTGTGATTTCAACTTCTATCGTTTCTTTTGTTGTTGTTGCTGCCAACAGCAGCAGCCTTTCCATCTATGCTGACTGCCCCAACATTTTATTGTTTGACTGCTGTGCATTGTCAATTGTCGCCATTGCTATAAATTTATATACATATGCCGATGTGTGTTGTCTATATCTACATATAGTCGAACATATAAACATATAGCCTATGCAAGTTGGTCTGTGTGTTTGCATTCTATGTTGGCCATTGTCAATTTTAAGTGGCTGTCATTTTTCTCATTTCGCAACTGAGTCGAATCCGGCGCCCTGACAAATACTCGTACGCGCAAATGGATGTGCAGTGGCGTGGTCGGCAAAGTATTTTAAAAGGGGGCCTTTCAACGGCTTTTTAAATTTGATTAAAATAAATCATAAAAAATCAAACCCCTTTTAAGCACATCTCTTGGATCAGAAATTAGTAATTCAGAATTAAAAAAAAAAAATTTGTGCTATCACATTATAATTTCAATAAATATAACACTGTCTGCAACCCATTAATAATTTGGGGACTCTTTCCTACAAAATGCCAATTTTCTGTTCAATACTAATAGTGAACAGGTTCAAGATAATGATATAAATTAAACTCTAAAATTGAGAACCTAATATGCCGAAATGCGTTTATTTGTTTTAAAATAAACATCTTCCGACTTCAAAGCGGCTTAGTGGCGATAAATTTCAATTTCACGATGAAGTGTCAACTAATATAAAATAATTTGGATTGTAATCATTAGAAATACATTTATATTTATCATAATTCATAATCAATCTCGATGAAAAGTTTACTGTCCGTTGAAAATGTTTTTATTGGACTCATTTATTGAAAATCGAAATACGTATAAAACAATATATGTATGAGTGAAACATTTATTACACCTCTTAACAAATATTTTCATGAAATATTTGCTGGCGACTAGAAATGGAAATAAAGTATTGAAAACACAAACGTGTTGATCGTGAGACCATAAGCTTTTCAAATTAATTTCTATACATTATATCTTTTTTTTGCCAATCACAAATTATAGGAGTTATCTGGGAAGTAGTAGAAACGGTTTGAGCGATTTATTTCATGTTGTACATATATTATTTTATTAACACAAAATAAATGTATATTGAGGTTATTTACAAACTCTAGCGACACAAAAAGGGGGCTACTCGAACAACATACGCCCCTGGGCCTGTGTGGCATTGTGGTCGTTTTGAATGCATTCGACTTTGACAAATTTACACAAATTTCAATATGCATTCATTATTAAAATATTCATCGTTGGCAATAGAGCGGAGCATGCAAATGACCTATGGGGCTTTTGAACGATCAAATAAAACCGACAATAATAAAGGCAGCAAAAGCAATAGCACATATTGGCAATAATAGAATTGTTTGACATTTTGTAATGCATAAATGAATTTTCTGTTACTGATTGTAATGTTGTTTCCTTTTTTCCCTTTTTTCAGAGGTAACGAGCAGACAACAGACAATCTGAAATTGATGCTTTGCCCAAGTCTGGGTGTCTGTTAGAAAGTGCAGTGAAAGCTGTGCATAAACGCAAAAAAGCAACAGAAACAAAATGTTCAATCAACAACAATTAAACAAAAACCTTTCATTGAACATTCAGATAGATTTTTTTGTTTGCTACACCATGCAGCATATATATGTACATACATATATGTATATTTATGTATGCATGTGTGTTTGTGTGCTCCCAAAATGTATTCGCAGTTTATAATTATAAGATGGAGCGAAGAGAAAAGAGGAGTGGGAAAAGTTAAATGATTTCTGGTATTCTAACAATGACATATGTAAACGACGATGATTAGATTAGATAAATACAATGCAAACTTTCTATATCTCTCCCCCCTTCCCCCCACAACGCCCTACTTCTATCTCTTGCTTGGTTACTGGACTGCTTTTGTTTTCTACAATATATGAGTGTTGTCGCTGGCGAATTTTTTTGTCGTTGAGATAACTACCCAACTAATGGCAAAGGTATCTACATGCATACATACATTTGTATGTATATGTTCCAGCAATATCAGCACTGCCGATATAATCGGTGACCGCAAGCACCCAATCAATATCATTTATGACAGCATCTATAAATTAATAACTACATATATGTACTATTTCCAGGAATATATTTATCTAAATATCAAAGTGTATTCACAGGCTCGTATAAAAACTAAGATATTTAGATAACTCTTGTCAAAGCAGGTAATATATGCCGTTAATTTCCTTTCTAAGCGATCTCACAGAGATACCAAATTTCGAAACTTTAAAAATAGTAATATCGATGTTATTAAAAGACGTACTCTCCAATTAAAATTGTTTATAGTAATATTAATCGTGAGGAACTACTACATTTTTCTAACATTCAAAACATTTGACGAATTGAAAGAATTTATCTCTTATTACATTTAAAAAGTTGCGTTTTTAGAAAAAATTCCAGAAACTTAAATTCTTCAACATTTTTGCTCACTTATACTAGGCCGTGAGCAAATTTTCTTTGAAAGAAACACGCAAGGCCCGTCGGTGTGTTGGGAGAATGTTACAATACTCGTATTACAGAACAGCCTAATGACTGTTATCAATATATTTTTCATTGCTCCACCTCTAGCCATCGATGACTTGCTGTACTATATAATTGCATTGCTAAATACCGACTCACCAGCTCAGCTATTGTATCGTAAAAAACAAAAATGAATCAACAGATTCGTTACGCGTTAGTTAACCCATTAGACCCCTTATAGTACACTAAATGCGAATATAGCGCAGCGAATTGGACAGAAAAGCATATCGATATGTGCTTCTCTACTGAAAAACAGCAGTTTTGTTCAAAAGTTATATAAAAGTAAAAACTAAGTTATGTTAAACACATCTGGGACTAGGGCTAGAGCTATTTCAACACCCAATGCTGTATTTAAAGCCGTCAATACTCGATGTACGGCTTCTTCGTGCTCGTCAGTGATTGATATGATAGCGTTTATTAGCATTTATAATAAATAACTTCAAGTATGCTAATTCATTTTCCATTTTAATGCAATTTTCAATTCAAACAATAAATTTGTGGCTCAGCTTAAGGTCTATAATGCGTTTTTCTAATGTTATTTTCGCGTTAGTTTAACTTGCCGGCGTTAATTTAGCAGTGTTGGTAAACGAATAAATGTTTTCTAATTAATTCGCAATTTTAACTGATTGTAAACATTGGCAAATGTTATTGATTTAACGGCACTAGTATGTCGATTGACAAAGTAGTTATAAGTTAAAAAACCAGCACTTTTTAATGAAAATATCGCTAATTGCTGATTATTTACATATGTGTGCCGAGTATCATAATGTATCTGGGTAATGAGTACATTAGCAGAGATAAGAACAGGCGAATAACGATATTGTTTTTCAACTATAGGTACCAAATAGAAATAGAATACCACCCTGATAGAGAATCGATCAATTATTATTTAGAGTTCGATTTGGGCTGGAATGCTCAGATATTATTATTATCATGTAATATGTCAGTAGGAAATTGACTATATATTTGGTTATATCGGTGCTAACATCATCCACAATATACTTATATACAATGTGTGTGTGTGTAGTTCGAAACAGAAAAAGCTTGCGTGAATATGTTTCATAATGCGAATGAAATGTTCATTTAAAAGCTGATCCAAATCTATTGCCTAGATCTAGCCCTTGAAACAATTAAAAAGAATACGAGTATAATAGATTATTGCTTATGGAATACGTACGATTGGTAACAACATATGCCGTTGCCTCCGTTGGCGAGAGATCAGAGGGTACCGCCGTTGCCGCTGCCGCATCATCGGCACTTGCCGCACGATTGAACGGACGGGGCTTTCGATTCTTGAAGCGCAGCCGCAATTCCGTGTTCAAAACACGCATATCGCACACACCCTCGTCGGCAAACGGGTCGACGTCGAATTTGATGATTTTATAAAGATCGCAAACGATTGCGGGTCACGATGGCGGGCTATATAGTATACTGCCAATATGTATGAACAATCACACATTCTATTATAGGCATGAAATTGGAGCGAACGCATCAGCGACAACAATACGTTTGTCTGGTTCTGATACTGATACTGATTTTGATTCTAATGCTGATTCACATTCAGATGCGATCCGAACCGATCAGATCAGATCAATCGATTGATTGATTGACTGTCTGTCTGTCTGTCTGACTGAGCTTTCAATTCACTTGAACACACCCACAAATACACTCCCTGGTACTCGTACCTTTGGCTTGATTCACATGCACAGCAATAATAACAATAATGTATGATATAAAAATCGAGTAGCAAGAAAAAAAAGTACAAACAAAAAATATAAAAAAGAAGCACTTGCAACTTAAATGCAAATTACGATAATACACGATGACAGCAGCTGACACTCATGAGAACGCTGAGAACACGATCGAGCTCACATACTACTTGTATAGACTACTCGTGTATATACGGATTCATATTCATATATAGTATACTGCATCCCAATCATCATTGGCGCACGATATGGAGTTTCGAAGTAGCGAAAAAACAAACGGATCGCGCGCTCGCCTGCCTGGCTACGTGCTATATGATATCATAGTCCGCCGCCCTCAAATATCACTGGAGGTGGATATGGGCGGTAACAACCTTATTGTCTCTGCTATCGGTCACGAGCGTACGTTTTGCGCCACCGTTGATGTGAAAATTTCGCGTACTACTGACTGAGCTCTCGCTCATGTTCACGTTGATTACCAACCGAACCTCGAGCACACACACCAGCTGTGGCGGCCAACTGTGCTGATGTTGATGAGCGAAACGCGCTCTGCCGCCGCTGCCACCGTCGTCGTCGTCGTCGTCATCACCGTCGCTGTCGGTGTTGTTGTCGCCGCTTCCATCGCCATCGCCATCGCCATAGCCAGCGGACCGCACCGTGCACTGCCAACAGACGCGCTTTTACAATCTAATCGCCCCGAGCAATGCTAGGGGCAACGCCATGAGGCGGACTGGAGGGGCGGACTAAACAATGTTGTCACCGCCACTGCACAATGGGCTCTTACTTTGATTACCATGGCTAGTACCTACTAGTTTATATCTATCAACATAATATCCGAGAAGTGAAATCTGAGTTTATCTCCAAAAGCCAACATACATACATACAATATTTTATCTTTGAAATAACAAGATATAAGTAAACGGAAGAACAGCAAGATCAGCCTAAGCATTAATTGAAAGTTATGGAATTGGAATTAAGCAGCGCTACAACATAGAACTTTTTAAACGGTATATGGAGGGAGGATTTGTTTGTATTAGATTTCTTTTTACCAACAATTACCATCAACTACTGCCCTGTATGTAGCCCTATCCTATACATTGGGAATGAAAGGAGTGTGCCTTGATCAAATAAAAGCCTTCCAACAAAGTCCATATCTCCTTTACATCAATAAACATTTTAACCGGCACCCGAAAACAACAAGTTCCTGGCTTATATTTTTTAAAAGTTTCGATTAAATTGGAACTCCCCAGTATGTTTCCTCTAATAAATACATATTGTAAATAAAAAGATACATATTATTAGATTATGTTGGACAATATAATAATACTATATATGATCTGCATAACACTTAAAAATAATGGGTGAGTCACTCTCTTTTAAGAGACACAGCTTGAAGAGTGGCTCCGAGCCGTTTTAGAATGATCCCATGTCTACCAAATAAAATACTAGTGCTTGCATTATTTTAGTAATAATTAATCTTAATTTGAGCCTTGGATCGTAAGCTCATATGCATGCGTATCTCACATACTATATACAGCTATACACCTAATTCTGTTTTTACACGGAAGATTGTTTCCAGAAACAGCCGTGTAAAAAAGACAATGATCATATGAAAAAATCGCTGATTGGTTGCTTATCTCTAAAGAAATATACATATATGCAATTATTAATTTTTAAACCGTGTTATATCACAATCGTGTAAAAACAGAATTAGGTGTAACATTCATTCAGCTCGTACTCATAATACAATGTTTTTGTTTCGGTTTATGGCAACAAACATGGAATTTATTTCGGGCTAATTGCTGGACTGCCCCACTGTGCGCTGCTGCTACCGCCGACTACTGCCGACTGTTGTCAGCTGAGCGTTAAAACGATCAACATTTACACTTTCAATGAACTATGGTACTTAGGCATAGAAGCTACGATTTTCAACAAGCCAATGAGTGTATGAGTTTGCAAAGCGTGTGTGTTGTTGTTGCTGTAGTCATTTAAACAGTCGCATGACAATGGCGACTTATATTCGTACGAGCAAGAAGCAACTAGTTTGGTGGTAAGAAAAAGAAGGGAGTGAGTGGCATTTGTTTTTGTTGTCGCTGCTATCACAACGCTGCTCTTCGCGCTCAGCTTATCAATCAAAAGTAATCGTAAGCCAAATGGCAATGGTGTCGTGGCTTACGTTTGCACGCATTGCAGGCGTTGCACTTTAATACTCGGTAAGCTATTAAAAGCAACAAAAGCAGCAGCAACAACAACAACAACAGGAGGAGGAGCTATATACCCATTTACTGTCAGTCTTATAGCCAAGCGTATAATAGCGGACAAACAAATATAAATTAGCTTGGGAGAGGCTCGCTGATGCTTATATGCCCTTACAAGTGTTCCTTTGAAATCCCTAATACTTGTAATATACATAAGTATAGATATACCGTTTATTTACAACCTAAACAAACCTGATCATTTCTATGGCAAATTTATGATATAGTTGTCCGATTTAATTCAACATTTGCAACATCATTGATTTTATTTAGAAACTTGCCTATGTTCTATTCGGGTATCTGGTATATTTATAAATAAAATAGTTTTTAAGACGGCTTTACAAACATCATACCATAAGCAATGTGGTCTTTGTTAGCGTATATCAAGAATGGAATGCCCGTTTTAATCTTATTTATACCCTGTGCGCAAAGGCTAAACGGGTATTAGTCTTTATAACACCAAGAAATACCTAACAAAGTATTTACGAGTACCTATGTATATTCTTCATCAGCACGTCGATTAAGAAATTTCGATATACCTATCTGTCTTTGAAGCCTGCTATGCAGGTTCTTCTAAGCTCTAGGGGTTCCTTGTCGATGAAGCATTTGGGCCTTACTTTCAATTTAAAGCACCATCAATTGCATTTAGTTTTGTTCCTTTAAATGTATGGTGGCATCTGGATAGATCAGCTCTTGAGGAACTTCGTTTTAAATATTAATGTACTTGTATTTTATCTACAAATGCTACTGGCACTTCTTCGGTTTCTGCCAATCCCCCTTCTGTCCACTTTGGATAAGCAAAATGGTCGAACACTTGCAATCAGATTTCGAACCATCGCCCTCTTTCTTAACAAAAAATGTATAGCTCTTGAATTGACGAATAGTTATGTCCTAGAGACGGGAATAATTGCTTAAAGGGTATACTAGTTTAGTGCAAATGTATGTAACACATAGACGAAGGCGTGACAGACCTCACAAACGATATACTATATGTTCTTAATCACTATGAAAACATATCAACACTATGAACGATATAGCCATGTCTGTCTGTATGAACGCAAGGATTTCAGGAAGTATAAGAGTTAGAATAGCCAAACTTGGTCTTCATATTCCTTTGAAACTGTAGGCAGATCAAGTTTATCTTTTTTTCTGATAAATATTTTGTATAAAAAAATTATTTAAAATATACCAATATTTATGTTAATGATTAAAAAGCAGTAATAAATAAGAAAATTACTAAACCTATGTAATTCACAAAACTTTAGTTTAATGTACATATTTAGAATTAAAGCTGACATTTTTCGTTTTTTTTTTATTGTCTGTACGCAGAGTTATGCGAGTACGTGTAGACTTCAGGCTCAAATGTAACATTTTATCTTGTTAACTTTTAATATAAGGGAATAGAGATAGAGGATCGTAATAGACAAAGAAGTTCTAATACGAAAGGTGATTTTTGCATCGATCGTTTCTTATGGCACTACATAAAATAGGTAGACTTTAGATAATTTTCATTAGGTTAGTCTAGAGGCAACGTTTGCGCTTTCTAGTCTGTATGGTTGAAAAGTTATCAATCATACGGGAAAGGTCTCTGTCGATTTGTGTATCCTTATAACATGAGATCTGCCACACCCCTAACTACTTGTTACAAATGTTAACGTGCCATTTTTCGAACTTAACTTTGTAACACTGGATCTAGTATCGTCCATTCCGATAAGAGCAACTATAACTGAAATGGGAAATCTAATCCTTTTTTTTATCCAATTCCAAACAGATATTAAGTACGCAAAAAATATAAAAACAAGAACATTTACAGTAACAAGTATTTTTATTTAATGTTAATCTAACAACTATGTATAGATATTATACAGTTCAGTGGTTTTTCTTTCGTCGACGAGTATTGAAAATTAACAAGTCCAAAATATGAGCACCATATTCCACTAAACTTATATACCTTTTTACCATTTGGGGTAAACAGCTTGGGACTGTTTTGGTTGGTATATACATATGTAAATAGGGCCAGTCGTTATCTATACGATCTGCCATAGTCGAAACCATGATCTAAGTAAGAGTTCTCCGGTCTCACAAGATAACCTTTTATACCGATCAGCACACAGACAGGCCAAATAAAGTTGCATTACATCATTTTATAGATACTTCTTTTTGTTACAGAGTATTCTTAATGGGGCATGCGCCAACTTTTGTGCAACATCCTCGATGCCATGACAACGCACAGAGAACTAAAAATCAAACTTATGTATTTTGAAGTATGGCGCACGGGACAACAACACATGTGCAGCATCTTACTGCATGGATGGCAACAGAGGGAGGGGGATGATGCTGCAATAGATGGAGGCAGAGTCTGTGTACAACAAAAATTGTTGATTCATTTGAACACTTCCTTCGGGCGGAGAAAGACTAAAAATAAACTTGTTGATAAAAGGCATAAAGCGACTGACTGCACATTTGCTTTATTTTTCTTTCTTTATTTTCATTTTTGGACAACCTGAACGAACCAGTGTGGGTGGCAAATACGAAAAAGGAAGAAGTCGCAGACGGCGTTAAGAACTTTTACAGTTACACACACACACACACACTCACACACACATATACATGCTATACATGCATATGCATGAACGTTTTGCATTGCGTTTCAGATGAATCATTTGTTGTTTTAACAGGAAAACCGAGTAGACGGCTAAAGTCGGACGTCGGCAACGACTGTGGCTGCGTCCGCGTCCGCGTCTGCGGCAGCACCAGTGACAGCACGCACACTTGTGTATACCCCATACACACACACACACACACATGCATACATATTCACAAATAAAAGAGCTTGTGGAGGAGCTCGTGCGTGTGTGTTCTGTGCCTGTGCCTGTGTGAGCATATTGCGGTGGGTTTGATGCTGCCGACGGGACTTTAACTCCTCCATAATAGGCGGAACCATTGGTTTTTGAACTTACCAATTTTCTGCAAGACGTTCATTTTATCCAATTTTGTTGCCTAATCCTTGCAATGTTGTTATGCATTGATTTTGTTATTACTTCGATTGCTATTGCTATTGCTATTGCTGGTGCTGCTGCTGCTGCTGCTGCTGCTCTTGCCGCCGGTGCGCTGCCGGAGCCTCTGCCGGTGCGCTGCCGACCTTTTGTGTGCGCACTGCGGGTTGTGCCGATTGTAACGATTTTTGATTTTTATTTTAATGTTTATAATTTAGAAAAATTGTTAGATTGTTTGTACCATAATGCTTTGTGCATTCATTTTCACAAAATTATCATTTATTAGGCCTTTGCAGCTAAAATTGTTATACATATTTAAAACGCGTGGTACACTCATTTTTAAATAATGTTGTTTATGGATGCTGAGGCTGTTGTTGGCGGGGGCGCTACTTAAACATTTCACTCGATTTATATATACATATGCATATGTATGTATGTATGTGCATGCCATATACCATAGCATACACACATATGCATGTGTGTGTGTGCGTCGCTCTCCAAGACTGTTTACGATTTCTTTACCCAAAAAAATTTTATTTATAAACTCGCGTTTTGCATATCACACTTTTCAATTGCGCAGCGATTCTCATTGCTGCTTATTAGTGCACGTTTCATATTGCGCATTTTTACGAATTTAATTAAAACTTTTATACATTTAATTCAATAAAATATATATAAAAAAATAATAATGCAGCACACTTGTGTCGATAGCTGCGCGGTAGCCCTGAAACTGGAATGAAAAGGCAGCGCTATCGTTATCGTGTTAACAGAGCGTAAAAATGGCTGTCACATATACGATACTCCCTGATTGTCGTATTTAGTTCTAAAACATATGGGAAATTTACCGCCGTTCTAAATTAAACAGTGTGGCAATAGTTGAGTGCAGTTCAAACTATCTCACTGCATTATCAATGCTTGTGGTGTGTTGCATAAAGCAGTGCGAATACCGGAAACACGGTATTCACTTATTTTCGATTTTATTTTGACTACACTTACTTACCTTCGATTTATTTTATATTTTTATCATATTCAACTAACTATTTGTTGATGCGCTATTAAGAAGTTGCTGCTGTTTTTCCTACAAAAACGCATTCAAGCTGGGGCAGGCCACCAGCAGTAGTACAGGAAAATGGTAAGCAATTCACCAAAGTTTGCTATCCAGCTTAGCCAAGACGCAAACCAATTGGTGAATTCATTTCTACCAATTCGAAAAGTATAAGAACAATTATTTCAAAATTCAAGTTGGGTTTCAAGTGTAATTTAGGCTTATTAAAGAGTAAGAATGGATATACACACATAGATACATATTTATGGGCAGCCAAAAATTAAAAAACGACTTTAAAATGCAAGCGTTCTGCAACAAAACAAAAAGGAAATTCATGTTTCTCTTGTTTTTCATAAGTTGAATTCCCCAATATATGAGTGTGTTACAAGGTATATATAGAAACTCGTTTCTGTGCTGTTATTATTGCTTGCAGTCCAACTATGTGAATAAATATAAAAATATATCGCATGAATGTTAAAGTCGTTTCTAGGGCAACCAGGCAATACAGTACGCGAATTACAATGAAGATTCATAATATAATGAAACATTAATAATACTTCCTAATAATAATAATAATTTGTTCACGGATCATCACGGATCCATCCTATAGCAGTTATATTATAAAATATGCTTTGTCATAAACTTGGTCTAAATATGCGCCAAAGGAGGCCACACACCAAGTTCGGAGTCTGTAGCTGTTGTGGCTCAATAGTGCTCGGTGTTCACCGGACAGACAGGCGGACGGATAGACATTCTATGTATATCGATTTGTATCCTTATGTTGAGATTATTCATAAGAGCACACAATAAACTAAAGTAATTAATTATAATAATTGGCAACACGTTCCTTTTTATTTAATCGGCAAGTTTCTGTGGATTGTAAATAATAAATTGTCGGACAATTGAATTGCATTATATAACAGTCAGCTTTGGAGCGAGGGTTTAAAGCGGTGCCAGCCTAGCAGAGCCCTTAGAGATGGCAACGCCAAAGCAGTATTACGAGCCTCTGACCATCGGAGCTGGTCGCCGGCTTGGCGAGTCGAAGTTTTACCAGCGAGCGATATAGACGCGAGGTCCCTCGATCGCGGCGGCAGTTATTAACTCATCAACGGTTTCGAACGGTACTGCGGCTTCCGTAAACAACTCTCTTGCCACTTGCTCAATACTCTGCCCGACTCGCTCTCCATCCCGCAGGCTGAATATCGTTCGTTATACTGGAAGCTTGCTTGCAACCGCTTTGCGACTTTATTTATTTACTTTTTTTTGTAGTTTTACTTAATTTATGTTTTAAATATTGGCAAAGTGATTCTGGGCCCGTATCTGTGTGTCCGTGTGTGTTTGACATTAAATGTTAATTTCAGTTGTGTTCATTGCCATTTTTGTGTGTGTTTCGAACAAAATATGCTAAAAAAGGCAATAAATAATGCCGCATCCATAAAATAGACAGTAAAAAAAGAAGGAAAAAATTGCGTATACGTAATTGCCAGAAAGTTAAAAATGTTGAAATTAAAATGCAAAAATGTCTTAGTTTTTATAAAACTGACGTATATGTATATAATAAGCCAGAGCTAAGCTTATTCGGATTGAAATGAAAACTTTAACTTGAACGATTTCTTATTTGTTATGTGTTGATTGATTTAGTCAACTTTAGACGCTATCTCTTATCTATCGATCGATCAATGTTGGAGCTTTCAATTAAAATACATATGTACATACATATGTACGAGTATGTCATAAGTGTTGTTTACTTGATTGGCTTCCTTCGATTGTATATTTGTATTTACATATTTGCGTTCACATACATACATACATATGTACATAAAATGAGCATTAATACATAAGTATGTACATACATACATACATACATACATATGCATTGTGCTGGACAATTTCTTTAGATATTCAAGCTGAGCAAAAATTCGAAATTATAAATCACTCTTGCTTATCTGCTTCACCTTATTTTGTGATTAATGGCAATCATGAACTTCAGACACGATCCTAATTTTATGCTGACCTTGAAGCTTCTCTCGTCAGTCGCCAGAGTCGATTTTGGCAACTGGAAATCTTATCGCGCCATATTCCAACACCCTTTTCCATAACAATTAGAAACAAGGATCGTTAACACTATAATTGCTGCTACTGGTCCACATGGCAACAAAAATTATTGGTGCCGCTTTGTCTCCTGAAGACGATTATACATACATACATACATACATACATATATAAGCCTGCATTGAATGCTGTACCTGTTCTCTGAATTGTGCCTCTTGTTGCCGATGTTGCTGTTGCTGTTGCTGTTGCCGTTGTTGTTGTCTCCGTTTTGGCGCGCTTAAAAGGCGTGAAAGTCACTAGCGTCGTTATTGTTGCCATTTGATTGCGAACGCTTCCCAACCGCTGCCGTTTTTACTGGCCATCATGCCTCTTACCATGTCCATGTTCTTGCCGGCCGGTCGCTTTGCCACTTGAATGCTTCCTGCAGAGTCGAATCAAAAAAAAAAAAAAAATGCTTTTTTTCTTCTCAAATAAAAAAGAACGAAAAGAGATGAAGATAGAACCATACAGTCCTCTTCACACAACTATGGTATACTCTAGATCAGGACAGGATCAGTTTAATAGACTTCTATATTCCATTCCCTCAGGTATATTTTATATAACAATTTTTGGCAGTCAAAAACAAAACTAAAATTGTATTTATTTTTGTCGTTAAGAAAAATAGCCGTGGAAATAATTCATTATTATTATTTTTTTTAAATGATAAACAATATGATGTTACGAACCGTTCCAAAAACCTGTATCAAAATTGAAAATATTTAGTGCCCATATCTTTATCTTTCAATTCATGGTCTTTATTATAGATATGGTCATATAACTTAATAATACAGCTTTTATATTCAATTGTTTCGACACCCTCATGCGAAATTTGCTGTCTTCAGATCCTGGGGAGTCTCTGCGATCGAGAAGAACATAGCTGGATTAACTCTCATTGACTCCATTACTTTCCTCCCTTATGTGTGACAAATATCGCTGCCCAATACATATTGCCCATAGCCCTTTGGATGCAGAGTATAAAGATGGTTTGCAAAACTCCTTGGCTGGCTGTCTCATGCACACAGACACACACACACGCACGCACACTTACGCGCGCACGCACACAATCTAACAACATCAACATCATCGATTCTGTGAAGCAGCTTCTGCATCTCCGCACCTCTGCCCCTCTCCAAAGGTAGGTGCCAGCGGTGGCACTTGAGCCCACTCGGAGACACTCGTTATTGGTCGTCTTTGCGTCTCCGTTGTTCGTTGTCCGTCCTCCGGCGTCCGGCGTGGCTTTTATATCCAGCACTTCATAGCTAGACACATGGACATGAGTATTCGATTTATTACAGTTCTTAAATGCAGAGTACACCTACTTTGTAGGTGCGCCTGATAGTTCTCTTACGCTATGCTATAGTTTCGGTTCGGGAACGCAGCTGAGAAACATCGGCATAAATATATTATATGTTCTTTATCTGAAGGCAAAGTTTGCGCGATTTAGGAATGACTTTCATTTTACTTCTAAAGAAACTTTGAAAAGTCTCGTTTTTTTTCCCATTTACATAAATCCCGCGTCAGTTTATGACTTTGGCTTTTAGCTTCTAATTGTTAGAGGAACTATTAAAATATATATTTCATATTTCTGGGAATTTGAAAAGTTTGGTTTTTTTCCCATTTACATAAATCCCGCTTCAGTTTGTGACTTTGGGTTTTAGCTTCTAATTGTTAGAGGAACTATTAAAATATATATTTCATATTTCTGGGAATTTAAATTATTGCATAATATAGCTGTAATAATTCTTTAGAAAGCCATTAACTACCCGCATTGAACAATAATGTACGTGTTTACCAAATCAACATATATTTGGTTCCATTCGATTTCCAAGAAAGTTGATTTTTGTTTTTTTAATCAAACAATATTCTTATAAAATATAATATTTTAATGAAGCGACATTATTAACGGTTGTTAGGGTAAGCATAATAACTTGTTGAGCTCGCATATGAAACTATACAAATCTTTCAATTTGCTGGAACCAACATATTCTATACATATATATCAATATATTGCCAATATATACCACGTTTAAACCCATTTTATGTATAAAAACCTCTTTTGAAATCTTTAAATTGTTAGGTACACAAATGTGTATATTGTAAATGACATATGATGAATATAATGACTTATATTCTAAACAGAAATATAATTGTAATACTTTGAAGTCCTGCCTAATGATTTGATACGCCTTTCATATACGATTCATTGGTAGTGGTGTTCTAAATTAAATGAAACTCAGGGTATTTCAAATTTCAATACTTCGTACTTCGGATTTCTGATCGCTTCTACTATACTGAACTGCCAAAGTATTTGTTGAAGGTGTTTTTAGTGTGATTGCTCGCTTGAACTTGTGAGTGTGTGTGTACATACATATATATGTGTGATGTATCGGGCAAATAACGCTTTATAGAGCTGACTACGACTACAAGTATAGACTCTGAGCGGTGGCCAGAGAGGAGGGTCAGGCAAGTGTACCATTTGACATCCTTCGATGATGATAACTCCTTCCCCCCTTCGTTTTAGTATATAGATTTCCTCTGATCAGCGCTACTTTTTTTTTTCTATATAGTACAAATATGCACTGCCATGTGACATATATATGTATATATGTATTATATATGTGTGTTGTATATGTATCATTATTATTACTGACCAGTGCTCAAGTGCCAGTGCCAGTGCCAGTGCCTTAGCAGCAGTCGAGTATGTATGTATGTATGTATATGTATTCCAACACATATATACATAGCTGTCTGTCCTCTGTCCAGTTATTGGTCTCCGTCTATACAATTGTTTGTATGTATGTGTGCATGGGTGTGTCTGTGTGTGTGTGTGTGTGTGTGTGTGTGTGCGTCGGCTGCCACTGTCTGTCGCTCGCTGGACTGGGACTTGGAACAATCATGAAGAAGATACAAGACGGGCAGCAAATGCAGCTTCTTGTTCTCTTTTTTTCACATATCATCGTCGCTTATTTGTTGTAGTTCTAGTTGTTGTTGTTGCTGTTGCTGCTGCTGCTGGTGCTGTTGGTTCTTTATTTTCTTGGTAACAAGGTGTGAGAAAGGCAATAATCGTAAAGAGCTAACAAATTGTAGTCGTTGTTCTGATTGTTGTTCTTGTTGTTGTTGTCTTTATTTCTTATTTCTTTCTTTCACGCTAAAAAGTTAATCGAATGCCCCCTTCTGTCTGTCTGTCTGTCTGTCTGTCTGTCTTCGCTCGCTCTTCCCCCTCTCCGAGCAATTACAATACCTACTTTGTCTCCTGACTTCTTCATTCGTTGTTCTATTTAGTCTCAAAGACCGAGTGGACAATACACCTGGTCCCTGGCTCCTGTGGTCACGACACGCCCCCCTGCCGTTTGTTTGCACCATATATTGTTGTTTTTATTGCTTTTTATTATTATTATTGTTGCCGCTGTTGTTGTTGGTGTTGTTGTCACCCTATTGAAGGCCCCATTGAGCTACTGCTTATCATTCTGAGATCATTGAATAGCAATGGGAATGAAGTGAGGAGCGAGCGATCCAATCCGCCAATTAATTGAATGACATTATATTTAGGGTATTTCTAAAAGTGGCAGATCCTTTTATGTACCTGCATAGTCCCATAGGACCACAATTAGAGCAACATCTATTTGACAATTATTAAATTATATAGTAGCATTGGAATTGTTCTATCATGTGTTCTGTCATGTGAATGACAAATTGTTTGTTCCTTTCTATTCCGATTGCTTCATCGAATCTGTTCATTTTCAGTTCGTTACTTTTATACAAGCGGCAAATTGAAGTTTCTTTCAGACTATATCCCATATAAGCCGATTTGAATATTGCTGACCTAATGACACTAGACGATAAAATAAACTCAAGGTCAGCATTTAAGGTCTAGTAGAAAACTCCGCTTCTAAAAATCGAAAACTGTTAACACCATATCTAGTCTAGTACCAGTATAACGTCATAAAGCCTTGAGATATTAATAGAAAAACCAAAACGTGCTCATATGTCTTTCAATTTTCGTTTTCTGGCTGTTGTTTTGTTTACTCGC